TGTTTTCAAAATTTAAGTTTTCTTCTTCTGCATGTAAAAAAGGAATAAATAAATCAATCAAATTCCGGGAGGCTTCATAAAGTGCTTCCTTAGGAGTTAAACTTCCATTTGTCCATATTTCGAGAACTAGTATCTCTTGTTTTTCATTTCCATTCACATAAGAATGAATACTATGATTTGCATTTCTAACAGGCATGAATACAGCATCTATAGTATAACTTCCATCTTGAATGTTGTTTAGTGTTTTTATACGATATCCCCGCTTTCTATCAATTTCTAATTCAATACACAAATTAATAGGTTCTGTTAGGTTAGCTATATGTTGTGTATTATCAATGACTTCCACCGAAGGTGGTAAAATGATGTCTTGAGCAGTTACATATCCAGGACCTTTGAAACAAATAGACGCGTCCCGAGTTCCATACAGATTACTTCTCAATACAACTTCTTTTAAATTCATTAAAATTTCATGTATTGATTCTTGAATACCTATTATGGTAGAATATTCATGTGGTATTTTCTCAGATTTTGCACGTGTGATACATGTTCCCTCTATTTCTCCGAGCAAAATTCTTCGCATTGCAATGCCTATTGTATCTGCTTGACCTTTCATAAGTGGAGACATAATAAAGCGTCCATAATAAAGACGCTTACTGTCTACCCTTGATTCAACACACTTCCACTGTAGTGTCTGAGTAGATACTTTTAGTTTTTCTCGAATCATAGTAATATATTTTTATGAAACTCTTGATTTAATTGTTTATTTCTCTTGAAATCTTTTTCTTTAATGTTTATTGTTAGTTTTACACACGTCTTTTTTTAGGAGCCCTACATCCATTATGTGACATAGGGGTTACATCCCGTATAACCCTTACTCGTATCCGACTTCCAGAAATAGCTCTTAATGCCGCCTCTCTTCCTAGACCGGGACCTTTTATCATGACGTCTGCTCGTTGCATGCCTTGATCGACTACTGTTTGAATAGCATTTCCCGCTGCGGTTAGAGCGGCAAATGGTGTCCCCCTTCGTGTACCCTTGAATCCACATGAACCGGCGGAGGACCAAGAAATCACCCGACCTCTTACATCTGTAACAGTCACAATGGTATTGTTGAAACTAGCTTGAATATAAATAACCCCCTTTGGTATTTTACGAGGATGCTTACGCGAACCAATACGTCCAGTTTTACGTGAACCAATTTTTGGTATAGATTTTGCCATGTTTTATTATTTAAAAAAATATAAGTCCGAAATATATGGATATATCCATTTCCTGTCAAAAAACGATTCTTGACTATTTTCTAACTAGTTATTCTATTGTATTCTATAATTCAATTAATATAGAATACCATTTTCAAATATCAAGGAATAAGCAATTATATTTATGAGAATACTTATAACTATAGACTCTATTCGAATATAGAATCTATATTTTTAGATAGAGTATTTAATAAAATGGAATATTCATAAGATTTTTTATTTGAATTCTATTACAATTCAAATAAAAAATCTTATGAATAGAAAGACCTTTTTTCTTTTAATATTATCCTTGTCTTTGTTTATGTTTTGGATTGGAACAAATTACTATAAGTCGACCTCGCCTACGGATCAATCGACATTTTTCACAAATTTTACGAACAGAGGCCGCCACTTTCATATTTTTCACTCCTTAAATTAAATTGAATACCAATTTTATAGATTGCAAGAAAATAGGGTTTCCTTACATTTTGAACTTCAAATTGTTCCTCCTAAAAAATATGTTGAAGTTATAAAATAGTCTAATCGAATGGAGTCAGCTATACTTCCTTTTTTGGTCGTATCCAGTGGAAACATAACCTAGAATCTGATTTGAATTCTATTTCTCTAAAGCAACCTCAACCTGCAACATACCCTCAGAAGTTGTTGATTAATTTAATCTTTATTAATTTTCATTTCTATTCTAGTTAAAACCTCTTCCCATATTCACTAATGTATCATGAATAATATTAGAAATCTGTTTTTTCTCTACTCCCTCCATTCACAATACTGTTGGCTCTAAGTTTTTTTCATATAATTCAGATATCGGCAAAATTAGCATTACCATATATAACATAAAACTTCTCCCCCGATTTTTTCTAATCGAGCCTCTCGATCTGTCATTATACCCCTAGAAGTAGAAAGAATTACAATCCCCATCCCTCCTAAAACTTTCGGAATTTTTTGATACTTAGAATATATTCGTAGACAAGGTGTACTGATCCTTTTTAAATTTAAAAAAGTTTTATAGGATCCTTTCCTATTTCTTCTATACCGTAGAGTTAAAACTAAAAAGTATTTGTTGCTTTCTCGATGTTTTCTGACGTTTTCAACAAAACCCTCTCGTAAAAGAATTTTTACAATGTTTTCGGTGATATTAGTAAGTGGTATTTTAACAGTTCTTTTTCTATTCATGTCAGCATTGCGTATCAAGGTTAGTATATCAGCGATAGTATCTTTACCCACGATAGATTTTTGCTCCTTACTTTCGATATAATCAACGTGCTCCCGTTTTTTGATTTTTTATTTTTTGATTCAATCAAATCTCTCATATTGAATATGAGAATAGAATAATACTCTATATGTATAGAAAATTTGATTGTAATTAGGATAATCTAAATATCCGAATATAGAATATTCTAAAACTAAAAAAAGATAGAAATAAAATGAACGAATGACCTATTCGAAACTATATAAATAATCTTATATTGAATTCGAATTCTATTTTTTTATACAAATAGAATTCGAATTTTTATTTTGAATATATTGACTTGAATATAGAATATATATTTCATTCGTATTCTAATCTATTTCCTATTCATTCAAGTCATAAATAATATATCTATATCATGATCTCTTATTATAATACCTCAGGTGCTAATGAAACTATTTTAGTGAAATTTAACTGTCTCAATTCTCGGGCTATTGCGGAAAAAATTCGAGTTCCTTTTGGATTTCCTTCTTTATCAATGAGAACCGCCGCATTATCATCATACTTTATTATTATACCATTACGACGTTTTAGTTCTTTACAAGTACGTACAATTACAGCTCTGATGACTTGAGATCTTTTTAAAGATGAATTTGGCACTGCTTTTTTGATTACAGCAACAACAATGTCACCAATATAAGCATACCTTCGATTACTAGCTCCTATGATTCGAATACACATCAATTCGCGCGCTCCACTATTATCGGCTACATTTAAATAGGTTTGAGGTTGAATCATATCCTTTTTTCTTATCTTTCAGTTTCAGTCAAAAAGTTGAAGTAAAAAAAATATTTTGTGTTCAAAAAAAAAACGGAGAATTGCCTTTTTTCATACTAAAGATCTCTTTCGTTCTAATGATTATTCGGAAAGAATAAATTGAGTTCGTATAGGCATTTTGGATGCCGCTATTGAAATCGCCTTTCTAGCGATATTTTCTGGAACACCTCCCATTTCATAAAGTATTTTGCCGGGTTTAACAACAGCTACCCAATATTCGGGCGATCCTTTTCCCGAACCCATACGCGTTTCGGTAGGTCTTACTGTAACAGGTTTGTCTGGAAATATGCGTACCCATATTTGTCCACCCCGGCGAACATTTCGTGACATTGCCCGTCGACCCGCTTCTAGTTGTCTAGATGTGATCCAAGCGGGCTCAAGTGCCTGAAGAGCATATTTTCCGAAGCAAATTTGACTACCACGAGAGGCTTTTCCTTTCATTCTTCCTCTATGATGTTTGCGGAATCTCGTTCTTTTTGGGTTATAGTTGATGGTTATTTCTCAATTCCATCTCTATTACAGAACCGTACATGAAATTTTCACCTCATACGGCTCCTCGCGAATAAATCGATTGAAAAATATTGAATCGAGAAAATAATAATAATTACTACAATAAGATACAACAGAATATAATCGCGGGATTTTTTTACATTTAATAGAATCTATTGATCTATTAGAAATTTTTTAATCTTGCTTTGATATATAACGAAATATGTATTCTTATAGACCATTTTTGCTATCCGTATCTAACTAGCTAATATTTTTGGATATAAGGTTCTAACGAATCAGTATTTTTCTTTTTTTATTATTATCATATTGGATTGGCAAAAATTTATCAATTCCAAAAAAATCCACATTTTCGCGGGCGAATATTTACTCTCTCATTATAAATTGATTAAATTGAAGATGTAATGTAGGGTTAGTCCACAACTCCTCAAAAAAGAATGAATTCTTAGTTCCTTCCGCCATCCCATCTAATGAATCAGTAAGATTTCAAATTTTAATATAATCTTTTGTATTCACAGGTTCCGTCGTTCCCATCGCTTTTCAATTTATGGTTAGGTCTAAATTCTACAATGGAGCCTCTTTAATTAAGAAGATTCCATTTTTTTTATTTTCTTATTTTCTTCTTTTTTGTTGAATCAACCTTCTCAGTTTTCTTGATTCGTGGCTCTTGATTCGTTTATTCTAGGAATATATTCATCCATATATGGATGAATTTTGAAGATTGATGCTTTATTACACTACTTTTTATGAGATGACCCATAGACCTTTACATAGGAGAATTCTATATCATTGATATCCTTTTTCTATCTTTCTTTCACCCCTTCATTTATCTGTATATTCTTATTGCTTTACAACTAATAATCTTATTTTTTTTTTTTTATTTCAGTTGCTATAATTATATCATCACATAGATCCTTATTTTGATTTTAGATTTTCGGCGGTTCTTTATATCCAGATAATGGGAAGCGATGAGTAGGTTATTTATTCTTTAGTAATTAATTCGACGAATTTTTGTAGAAAATTAACCACTCTAAAAAAAAACCAACGAGTCACACACTAAGCATAGCAACTCCTTCATTATAAAATGATTAATTAATTTTTTTTTATTTAATCTTTTAAAATTTTTCATTTCTTCTTTGAGAATAAGAACGTAGTAAGAATTCGTCATTTTTTGTTTTCTCAAAAGATGGAACGTTATAAGGAAAAGGTTATTAGTCGTTGTTTATAAATATCCAAACTTTGATTCCTAAGACCCCATAAATAGTTCGAACTGGATAGGAACAATAATCAATTTTAGCTCGAATGGTTTGTAGAGGAATCCTACCTTCTCTGATCCATTCGACACGTGCAATTTCGTTTCCGTCGATGCGTCCCGCAATTTGTATTTGAACTCCTTTTGTACCTGCACCTGCCTCTTCAGCGAATTTTTTTATAGTTTTTTGCATTGCTTTACGAAACGGAATTCTATTCTTTAATTGTCTGGCTAGAAATTCTGCAAGAATATTCGGGTCTCTATAAACATTTGGAATTCTTGTAATTTCAATGTTGATTTGTCGGTTCACACAATTTATTTTTTTTTGCACATTAGTATGTAATTCTTCCATTCTTTCAGGGTTATCCTCTATTACTAAGTTTGGGTTTGGAAGTCCCATATTGATTATCACGTGAATCAGATCGCGTGTTTTTTTAATCTTTATTCGTCCAATTCCCTCGCCATCGACAGCGGTTGTTGTTTTTTGTATTTTTTGTATATAATTCTTGATACAATCTCGTATTATTTTATCTTCTTTTACATTCTCGGAATAAATTCTTGGTTGTGCAAACCAAATAGAATCATGACTTTGAGTTGTACCAAGTCTGAAACCAAGCGGATGTATTTTTTGTCCCATAATCCCTCACTACTCTATATAAAATAATACGTCTGATTTGTCTACTTTTTTATCTATATATATATATTTTTTTTAATATCTTGATATATCTTTTTTTTTCTGCAAAGCATTAGTTCTATTATAATAACCCTTTCAATTTTTGAATATTATTAATTACCATTCACGCTTTGTGTTGTGAATAGACAAAAATATTTTTTGAACAAAGGGTTATATTTCTCTGTATTGGTTCTATTTTCACGAAAAAATAAAATCTGTTTTTTTGATTGCAGAATAATACAATTCTTTTTGAGTAATTTATTAATTAATATTTATTAATGACTATTACTAAATTTATGTTAAAATGAATGTTAACGACGAGATCTATTATCATTTTTCGCAAAGCCTCGGAAGTTTCGAGTAGGTGAAAATTCTCCCAATTTATGGCCTACCATACGATCTGTTATATAAATAGGTAAATGCTCTTTTCCATTATGGATAGCAATGGTATGCCCAATCATTGTAGGTAGAATGGTAGATCTTCTGGACCAAGTTATTATTATTTCTTTTTCTCCTTTTGTGTTAAGCTTATTTATTTTTCTTAATAAATGATTCGCTACAAAAGGATTTTTTTTTAGTGAACGTGTCATAGTTAATTATTCCTCTTAAAATTTCTAAAAAAATGAATTTTTTCTCTTATATTTTTTATTTTATTTCCAATTTTAAAATATAGAATCTCTTTTTAAAATATAGAATCTCTCAAAAAAGAAAATCATAGAATGTCATAGTCAATCGCTCTTTTCTTTTGTAAAGACGAAGAAACAAATTCTATTTTCTCTACTATCCACTATTGACTACGGCGACGAAGAATCAAATTATCACTATATTTCTTCCTTTTTCTAGTTCTTCTTCCAAGTGCAGGATACCCCCAAGGAGTTGAGGGTTTTTTTCTACCAATTGGGGCCCTCCCTTCACCACCCCCATGTGGATGGTCTACAGGGTTCATAACTACCCCTCTTACTACAGGACGCTTGCCTCGCCAACGTTTAGCTCCGGCTCTGCCCAAACTTTTCTGGTTTACCCCAACATTCCCCACTTGTCCGACTGTTGCTGAGCAGTTTTTTGATATCAAACGGACCTCTCCAGAAGGTAATTTTAATGTTGCTGATTTACCCTCTTTTGCAATCAGTTTCGCTACAGCACCCGCTGCTCTAGCTAATTGTCCACCCTTTCCAAGTGTTATTTCTATGTTATGTATGGCCGTGCCTAAGGGCATATCGGTTGAAGTAGATTCGTCTTTTTGATCAATCAAAACCCCTTCCCAAACTGTACAAGCTTCTTCCAAAGCATACGGCTTTCTGGATGTAGATTAGAATATCTATACAGATACATCTTATATATCGTTTATTTCGTATATTATATATGACATAACGAAGTACCATACCACATGAGTGGATATATAATATACGAATCCAAATATTCTGAATGACTCATGTTATGATCTTCTACATCCTAGGTCTTTCTGTTCCTTCATCTGGCTTATGTTCTTCATGTAGCATTCAGACCGAATGACTCTATGAAATTACGTTGCTACTTAGACATAGTACGGGTAACGTAGGAGACATTTCTATTTTTTCCCGGGGGAATCCTTAGAATTACCACTGCTTAGCTTTCAATTTGCCTTTGACCATCAAATGAAATGTGAATAATCTGTGTCTTCCCCCCTTTGTTTTTTGAAACGAGGAGCACTTCGTGTTCTGTCGGTGCTTGAAACAATTTTGTCTTCTCCATATTACTATATCTCTAGGGTCAATAATTTTATATTAGGAACTACTGAACTCAATCACTTGCTGCTGTTACTCTTCAGTTTTCTGTTGAAGTCTATCCTGTAGAGGTACTCAAATAGGATCAGTGATCGATTTCTAGGTTTCGCCTTAAACCTAATTGGTTACTTCCAATTACGTAAATCTATAGTTCAAACCGCACTCAAAGGTAGGGCATTTCCCATTTTTATAGGAACTTTTGTACCATAAATAATGGTATCTCCAATTATAGCCCCTCTGGGGTGTAAAATATATCTTTTCTCACCATCCCCATAGTGTATGAGACAAATGTGTGCATTTCGATTAGGGTCGTATTCGATAGTTACAATTCTACCATATATGTCTTTTTCATTGCGTCGAAAATCAATTTTACGGTATAGACGCTTATGACCTCCCCCTCTATGCCCTGCGGTAATGATTCCTCTGGCATTACGCCCTTTACCACAATGATGCTGTCCAGAAATCAAACGATTTCGTGAATTGGATTTCACTTGACTGTTTACGGCTCCATTGCGTGTGTTCGGGCTAGAAGTTTTGGATAAATGTATCGCCATGTTATGAAGTGTATTTTTATTTAAGTTATTTTCTTTCTAAGAGGTGGAATAGAATAACCCGGTTGAAGCGTAATGATCATACGTTTGTAATGCCTTGTATGTCCCATAATAGGTCGTATTCTTCTACCCTTTATTGGGATTGCGAGTTGATTCATAGTTCTTACCTTGACACCAAAGAAGAGTTCGACCCAATGTTTTCTTTCTGTCCTAGTTAATCCTGATTTGACATGAAAAGTATATTGATTTTTTCGAAATAACGAAAATTTAGTGTCTGTAAATACTGCAGATTTTATTCCATTCATAAATCTATTTTATTCTTTCTTCCCGATGAGTTCTAGTCTCACTAAAAATACTAGTTTTTTTACTGTTCATTTATTAAAATTTGAATATACCACACCAATTTGTTATGTATGGATGATGAGATTCCATTGATACAGATCCAAGTCTCGATTCAAATACTACTAAGCTAAGAGGTCTACTACAGATCAGAAATTATTTAAATAGAATAAATAAAGAAATTCTTTCTTTATTTAGAAATGATCAATTCTTGAAGTTTCTATTATTTTCAAATTCAATTATTAAAGAAAGAAGAAGATGTTTCTTTTTTTCTTTGGAGGAAATTGGAAAAGAAAGAAATAGCCAATATAGTCAAGATAATCATGTATTTACAAAATAATGTCTCAATTCATCCTATATTCATCCGATGGAGGATGTGATAGGATTGCAAAGGAGAAACTTTTGACAGTTCAAAATAATAATTCATGATTAAAAATATAGTTTTTAGGGGAGATATTTCTATTGGCATGCATCCAGTAGGAATTGAACCTACGACTTCGCCAATTAGAGTTGGGCGCTTTAACCATTCAGCCATGGATGCTTCGAGGGAACAACCCTCCGACTTGATGAATAACCAAATTTCAATTGAAGTGAAATCTTTTGGATAAATCAATAGAAATACATACATAAAGAAATAACTTAATAGAAATACATACATAAAGAAATAACTTAATAGAAATACATACATAAAGAAATAACTTAATAGAAATACATACATAAATAAATAACTTAATAGAAATACATACATAAAGAAATAACTTAATAGAAATACATACATAAATAAATAACTTAATAGAAATACATACATAAAGAGATAAATTATTTTTAATTTTTTAAGGAGGATCCTATGAAGAACAATCAATTCCACTTTTGGATTTTCGAATTGCGAGAAATTTTTAGAGAGAGCAAGAATTGTGCCTATTTCTTAGATTCCTGGACGCAATTCAATTCAGCGATATCTGTCATTCACATTTTTTTGCATCAAGAGAGTTTGATAAAAGTCTTAGACTCCAGAATTTGGAGTATCCTAGTTTCACGTCAGTCACAGGGTTTAACAAGAAATCGATATTTCACGATCAAGAATGTAGTACTTTTTGTAGTAGCGATCCTTCTATATCGTATTAACAATCGAAGGATGATCGAAAAAAAAAATATTTATTTGACAGGGCTTCTTCCTATACAAATAAATTCCATTGGATCCGGCAATGATAGATTGGAAGACTCAAAAGATTCGTTCAATATCAATAGGTTGATTGTTCCGCTCCTGTCTGGTCCAAAAGAAAAAAAGATCTCTGATCGCTCTTTTTTCTCGGACAGATGGTCCCAACTTCATCTGGATTTGAATCCTACTGAGAAGTCCGCTCAAGATCTTCAATTATTAAAGAAAGAAGAAGATGTTTCTTTTGTTCTTTGGAGGAAATTGGAAAAGAAAGAACTAGCCAATATAGTCAAGATAATCATGTATTTACAAAATAATGTCTCAATTCATCCTATTTCATCCGATGGAGGATGTGATAGGATTGCAAAGGAGAAACTTTTGACAGTTCAAAATAATAATTCATTCTTGACCAAAAATCTAGTTTTTGGTTTATTTCATCTATTCCATGACCAGAATAGGGGGGGGTACTTGTTACATCGCAATTTTCAATCAGAAGAGAGATTTCAAGAAATGGCAAATCTATTTAATCTATCACTAACTAAGCCGGATCTGGTCTATCGTAATGGATTCTCTTTTTCTATTGGGTTTTCTGAACCGGAATCAAAAAAAAAATCTTTATTGGTTCTGCCGCGGCTTTTTGACGAAGCGAATGAATCTTTTTATCCAAAGATCATAAAAAAATGGGTCCAGACCTCTTGTGGGAATTATTTTCAAGGTAATCGATTCAATCGCAACTTCGAATATGTACTTCAAAGGTATCAAAATGATATTCTGAATCATAGACCTATAAGGAAACACACGATCAATCAACGTTTCTCAAATTTGAAAAAGAGTCAGAAGAAATGCTTTGATCGTCTTATTTTTATTTATCGAACCGAGAGATCCGTGAATAAGGATCCAAATGCATATAAATACAAATGGTCCAAGGGGAGCACAAATTTCCAGGAACATTTGGACCATTTCATTTCTGAGCAGAATAGTCGTTTTAAAGTAGTGTTCGATCGATTACATATGAATGCATATTCGATTGATTGGGCTGAGGTTATCGACAAAAAAGATTTTTCTAAGTCACTTTGTTTCTTTTTGTCCAAGCTTCTTCCCTTTTTGTCTAACTCACTTCCTTTTTTCTTTGTGAGTTTCGGGAGTATGCCC